TACGTAGGTACTGATAACCAGGGAATAACATGGAAAAAATCCAACATATTCATATCAAGTAGGCCTACCAAGAATTTCATCAACAAAATTCTTGGAGCATAATTATAATTTTTTGGTTATAAAAATAAAATACAGTTCTTGAGACATACTTATAGTCTTGATATGTTTTTTTTCTGTTTTGGCATTCCATAGTTACCAGAGTTTTCAAGGAGCACTGCCAGCAGCAAGCATTTCAGATTTTAATGATAAGTAAATTTCAAGTGGTAAATTAAACTGAAATATCTGCTATTTTGACAGTTGTCGGCTGGTTTAGAAAAACTAGGCCCTGTTTTGTGGGGATTTTCCACAAATGGCAATCTATAATTTCTTGCTCTGCCAAGTAGGACCTAACAATAAAACATTCAGATTAATCCAACAAGTATAGAAAAAGAAAAAAGAAATATTTTGTAAAAAAGTAAAAATCCATGAATATTGTCAATATAAATGGATGATGAATTTAATAAATGTGGTAGCCATGAAAATGAAGAATTGATTTCACAGTAAAATTATGATAATTTTGATATAACTCATATTTATATTTTTTAAAGATACAAATCACTGAAATTTATGTTATTTCCAGCACCAAAATTAACATTGTAACATTCTGAATTTTTTCAAGAAAATCAGCATGAAAACTAATCAAACTACGCTAGCATTTCTTATGCCAAATCTGGACATATACATCAACTCTGTAATCTGCAGGAACTAACATCATTATCTAATCTGTTTCAACATTTTAAATTGCTTCTGAAGTTTTAAGAAAAATATATACATCTAAATATTTTCTATTAAATTCTCTATTTTTTTAAATAAAGTATTTTCTGTAAATAATAATGAATCTATGATGAAATATTTTCAGCATTCGGATGCCAAGTCTATAGAAAACGTTGGTCAGAAACCTCACGTTGATCGTTACGAGTTAAATCCAGACCACACTCATTTTGTCATGGTAGAGGATGTCACCCGGCAAGAGTTATTAAGTCTTAGATATAATCTAGAAATTAGATTCACCCATCCTGTGGGGCGAGCGAGGCGATATCGACGCATGCCTTCAAGTCATACCACAATACGTAAGTTTGGTTGTTTCTATGTTTTTTTTTCACTTTATGTTATTGCTCAATGGCGAAAAAATGATAGTAAGAAATGACATTAAAAGATTGAATCAAAATGATTGTTTTTTCTCTTTTGACCCTGACCCTGACCCTGACCCAACTCTGCTTAAAAAACTTTTTAAATTTAATATTACAGCGGGAAGTGAACCAGACGTCAATGATGTTTTAGATAAAGAGTATGATGAATCTCTGACACCTGTTATTGGTCTATTTATTCAGGGCGGACCATCTGAAATTGATCATTGTATCTGGCTATTAAAGAAACGGGTGCCGATAATTTTAATAAAAGGAGCCGGACTGGCAGCTGATCTCGTGGCTTTCGCGTACGAAGAAAGTCAAGAAAGGTAGGCTATGTATTCTTCAAGAGAAGTACACACCAAATAAATGGTTGTTGAGAGTTATAATTCTGTTGGTTTGTGACTTTCAGATAAAGACACCTTTCCTTATATTCCAGTCAACCCAGCTGTACATGGGTACAGATAATCTGAGAAAGATCAATGCCATGAGGTTTGGCCACGGACGAGCTGGTAGATACAATCTGTGTTATACAAAATGTACAAAGTCACAAAATCTTATCTGAATGAAAAATTTAAGAAAATGATTTGAATTAAGATATAGATAGAACTCGAGGATGATGACAGGAGAACATGTCAGAAAGTAGCTTAAAACATGTTATTATTATTAATATTGTAAATAGACTATGACAGTTTGAAACTTTACGTAAAACTTTAACCAGTGATTATTCTTCCATATAGCTATATTTATATATTTTGTTTTTATATGTTTTTTTTAGGTCTGATAAAGATCATTATGAAAGTTTTATAAAACCAGAATTAGTAAAAAAAGTCATGACAACATTTCCTCAGGATTTTAGAAATAATGAACTGGCTAGAAATCAGTGTCGAGATAGAATTTTAGAATGTGTCGAGTTCGCTAATCAGGTTAGTTAAAAGTGGTCTGAATTTCTCAAGTGACCTCCCTTTCAAAGAGTTTTTTGTTGTTGAGGTCATTTAGGAAGAATTTGGCAACCTTGCACCCCTTTCAGAGATTTCACATAGCTAATATTGTTTATTTGGTATTTAGGTTTGTCAACTCTATATCTCTTTCAGAGAGTCCACATAAATAATAATGTTTATTTGGTATTTAGGTTTGTCAACTCTATATCTCTTTCAGAAAGTCCACATAGCTAATAATGTTTGTTTGGTATTTAGGTTGGTCAACTCTATATCTCTTTCAGAGAGTCCACATAGCTAATAGTGTTTGTTTGGTATTTAGGTTTGTCAACTCTATATCTCTTTCAGAGAGTCCACAAAGTAAATAATGTTTATTTGGTATTTAGGTTTGTCAACTCAGTATCCATTTCAGAGAGTCATCAAATAATGTTTATTTGGTATTTAGAGAGTCCACATAGTAAATAATGTTTGTTTGGTATTTAGAGAGTCCACATAGTAAATAATGTTTATTTGGTATTTAGAGAGTCCACATAGTAAATAATGTTTATTTGGTATTTAGAGAGTCCACATAGTAAATAATGTTTATTTGGTATTTAGAGAGTCCACATAGTAAATAATGTTTATTTGGTATATAGAGAGTTCACATAGTAAATAATGTTTATTTGGTATTTAGAGAGTTCACATAGTAAATAATGTTTATTTGGTATTTAGAGAGTCCACATAGTAAATAATGTTTATTTGTTATTTAGAGAGTTCACATAGTAAATAATGTTTATTTGGTATTTAGAGAGTCCACATAGTAAATAATGTTCATTTGGTATTTAGAGAGTCCACATAGTAAATAATGTTTATTTGGTATTTAGAGAGTCCACATAGTAAATAATGTTTATTTGGTATTTAGAGAGTCCACAGTAAATAATGTTTATTTGGTATTTAGAGAGTTCACAGTAAAAAATGTTTATTTGGTATTTAGAGACTCCACATAGTAAATAATGTTTATTTGGTATTTAGAGAGTCCACATAGTAAATAATGTTTATTTGGTATTTAGAGAGTCCACAGTATTTAGAGAGTTCACAGTAAAAAATGTTCATTTGGTATTTAGAGAGTTCACAGTAAATAATGTTTATTTGGTATTTAGAGAGTTCACAGTAAATAATGTTTATTTGGTATTTAGAGAGTTCACATAGTAAATAATGTTTATTTGGTATTTAGAGAGTTCACATAGTAAATAATGTATATTATATTTCTAGGGTGAACAATGTTATTTAACTATAATTGATCCGAGTGCTGGAGGAGATCTCAGTAACCTGAGTAAATATATTCTCAACGCTTTATTTAAATGTAAGTATATCCATAAAAACTAGAGACCACAACATCATAAAATTAATCAGGTAGACATGAAATAAAATACTAAAATAATAATACTTCCTCCTATTGAGTTAATGTCTTTTTACGTCGTGAAAATATCGCAACGGTATACCGGTATAGGAAATATGCCATATTGTATCGTCCGATTTATTTTTCATACCAGTTTTTTTCATAATATCACCATATCACCCAACTCTAGTTTGTAATACACACGGGGGGCCTCGGTTTATTGTCCCATCCGAACTACTAGACACTTTTTCCATGTCAGCCTCTCTTACTTGCTAGTGATGATGGGCAATGCTTTGTAGCGTACAATGAGGAAAATGTGGCCGGGATAAGTCTACTCTTTATTAATTTCAAAGCGTCAGTGATCTAAAATTATAGAATCATTGAGGTAGATATGAAATGAGGCACCAAGTCAGACGGGCGTTTAACCTTTCACACAGGTTTCATAAAGATTGGCGCCAAATTATAGACCATGTTAGCTCAGGATCTCGACCATGCTCGTTGAGACTGGATAAGTAGTAGAAATAAGGATTAAAAAATACCCACCGACTAACTATCTATACAAGAAGAGCAACCACGCTTCAGTCAGTCAGTTGGAATTGTTAAAGATATGATATGGAAATGAATAATAAAGCCAGTTATCTGTGAATAGAGTAAGTGCTCTCTGCTCAATACTCTGAACCAATCAAGCTACCATTTGGACTATTTTATTTTGTGTTGATTATTTCAGCTCAACCTAGAAGAGGTGGACCACATATTCGAGATCAGATTCAACGTGACCTTCAACTGACCCTCGACTGGAACAGATGTGACCTGGCTAAATCTAAAATTTTTCAAAAATACAATCGGAAAATTAAGGTACAGCTTTTTTTTTTTTTTTTTTTGAGATAATTACAGAGAATTAATATTTATTAAGATGATATGTTGGTGGCTTGATTATTGAATACCAATCATCTAGTAGACTACTTCTTCTCCACCATTTAAAATTAGTAATGTGTATCGTGGACACTGATGGCATTGATTCACATCATTCCAACGTTCAGTCTGATATATGTGGTTTTTGCAATCCCACTAAAACTAAGCTATGGTTTCAGAAAGAAGTTGAAGTTGTTATTAATCTGTTGTTTTGTTGTTGTGTTTTCAGGTAGAAGACTATCAGAAAGAAGTTGAAGTTGTTATTAATCTGTTGTTTTGTTGTTGTGTTTTCAGGTAGAAGACTATCAGAAAGAAGTTGAAGTTGTTATTAATCTGTTGTTTTGTTGTTGTGTTTTCAGGTAGAAGACTATCAGAAAGAAGTTGAAGTTGTTATTAATCTGTTGTTTTGTTGTTGTGTTTTCAGGTAGAAGACTATCAGAAAGAAGTTGAAGTTGTTATTAATCTGTTGTTTTGTTGTAGTGTTTTCAGGTAGAAGACTATCAGAAAGAAGTTGAAGTTGTTATTAATCTGTTGTTTTGTTGTTGTGTTTTCAGGTAGAAGACTATCAGAAAGAAGTTGAAGTTGTTATTAATCTGTTGTTTTGTTGTTGTGTTTTCAGGTAGAAGACTATCAGAAAGAAGTTGAAGTTGTTATTAATCTGTTGTTTTGTTGTTGTGTTTTCAGGTAGAAGACTATATATTTCATCAAGCCTTACAACGTAATAACCGAGAAGAATTCGTAGAACTGTTTTTAGAGAAGGGATTTCAAGTTCATCGTTTTTTAAATCATAAACGTCTCCATCATCTATTTGAGAATTGTCAAGATCGGGATTTCTTCGTTGGTGTGTGTATGGAAGGAGTTCTCGGAAAATCTGTGGTAGGTTGAAATTTATAATGTATTTCTTTGGGGTCGCAAGGTCTTCATTTATGCAGGAGAGTCAGACATGACTTACGGTCAGTACTGGGGAAGATGACAGATATCGTTCATGAAGCCAAAACCCTACAGGACAGGACAGTAATCTGATGGTTCAGATTTTAAAAATATTCACAAGAACAATTAATTTGTAACTTAATCTTTTATCGAAATCAATTTTAGAGATCGACCAATCAGATAACTGGAACAATGAAATCATCTTGAACTAGATTTCAGAATGTAAAATGAAAGTTTATAAAAATGATTTCTCTGAATTCAATTTTGTTTATTTTAATTTTAGAATCTGAACTCAGTGGTAACGAAACAGTTTGTAGAAGATGATATGTGTGATTTAAATCATTTATTATTTCGATGTACCAGACTACAGAAACTTGTTAGTCCGTACGAACTGTCGATGAATTCTCTGGGAGATTATATCTCTAATAAAGAAGTTGCTGAAAGAAGGGTACGTAGCTTTCTTCATATTGACCTTTTGACCCTGACTCATAGGAGACCTTAATATTCATAATTGCCCAATCACTTACAGTTTTGCAATGTTTTACATGAAATTGGGACGTAAATTGATAAAAGTTAAAAGGTCCACAGAATGATTGACAGCACAAACTGTAGGATGTAATCCTTCGTGCCTGTGATAAGGAATTCAACGTTCTGCTTATGTATGTTTATTATTATGGAGGTCTAGCTAGTGTGTCAGTGATACAGGTCTAGTGTGTCAGTGATACAGGTCTAGCGTGTCAGTGATACAGGTCTAGCGTGTCAGTGATACAGGTCTAGCGTGTCAGTGATACAGGTCTAGTGTGTCAGTGATACAGGTCTAGTGTGTCAGTGATACAGGTCTAGTGTGTCAGTGATACAGGTCTAGTGTGTCAGTGATACAGGTCTAGTGTGTCAGTGATACAGGTCTAGTGTGTCAGTGATACAGGTCTAGTGTGTCAGTGATACAGGTCTAGTGTGTCAGTGATACAGGTCTAGTGTGTCAGTGATACAGGTCTAGTGTGTCAGTGATACAGGTCTAGTGTGTCAGTGATACAGGTCTAGTGTGTCAGTGATACAGGTCTAGTGTGTCAGTGATACAGGTCTAGTGTGTCAGTGATACAGGTCTAGTGTGTCAGTGATACAGGTCTAGTGTGTCAGTGATACAGGTCTAGTGTGTCAGTGATACAGGTCTAGTGTGTCAGTGATACAGGTCTAGTGTGTCAGTGATACAGGTCTAGTGTGTCAGTGATACAGGTCTAGTGTGTCAGTGATACAGGTCTAGTGTGTCAGTGATACAGGTCTAGTGTGTCAGTGATACAGGTCTAGCGTGTCAGTGATACAGGTCTAGCGTGTCAGTGATACAGGTCTAGCGTGTCAGTGATACAGGTCTAGTGTGTCAGTGATACAGGTCTAGTGTGTCAGTGATACAGGTCTAGTGTGTCAGTGATACAGGTCTAGTGTGTCAGTGATACAGGTCTAGTGTGTCAGTGA